CGGGGGGGCCCCGCCGCCGCGATTATAAGCGGGGCCTTCGGTGAATTGAGGGTTAGAAATGGAAAAAGAGGGTTAGAAAGTCGTTCCTATGCCGCTGAACTTTTGTTTTCTGACCGATAGAGGCCGGTAGAGGACTGTGGAGAAGGAAAGTTTATAACCAGCAGCACCAGGATGGACTTCCCTGCTACCCAACCAAAACAAGGTTAGAAATGGAAAAAGAGGGTTAGAAAGTCGTTCCTATGCCGCTGAACTTTTGTTTTCTGACCGATAGAGGCCGGTAGAGGACTGTGGAGAAGGAAAGTTTATAACCAGCAGCACCAGGATGGACTTCCCTGCTACCCAACCAAAACCTACTGCCGATGGTAAAATCATCTACTACCCTCCCGGCGTGAAGGAGATCACAGACAAAATTACCAACGATGAGGTGGTGAAACGGTTGAAGGTAAGCGTTCCTGTCCCTCCCTTCTGTGCAACTTTTGCTCCTTACAGTGAGCATTTCATGGCAGGAAAGCGGAGCCGCCAGAGTTTTCCTGTTGCAGTTGAAATGTCTCCTCCTTGCCTACAGACCTGCGTGGGGATACTACTTTCTTGCTTTTCCTTAAAAGAGGAGGAGCCATTTTCTGTGACTAGTGACTGTGCTGCCTTGTCTAGGCTTTTGTGTGTTCTCTCGGAGCAAGAGTTAAAACACTAAACTGTTAATTTGTGCGTGAAATGCATCCAGATTATCAGAGAGAGGTCTGAAGCAGAATTATAAGTAAAAACTGCAGGAAATATCACCAACGATTTCAGCTGGTAAACTAGAAGATTTCCGTGAGTTCCAGCACTTTAAGCAAGCGTAGTTGAATGGGAGAAACAAGTAGATCTAGTTTAGGGCATTCTTGACTAAAACGATAGCATGGTTTACAAGCAGAGAGATGAATTTCTGGAGTTCATAGATCGAATCTTGAACTTGTTTCATATGCAAAAACTGCTTCAGGCTTTGCTATTTGATATAATTAGTGTATTTTTCCTATTTTGTGTAACCGGTGCTTGGTACAATTGCTAAATTTTCACAAGCGAAAGGGATTGCTATAAAAGCATCTTCTCTGTTGGTTTGATAGCATCCCGGGGGAGTGAGAGGCTTATCTGTTTCTTGTTTTTTTAATCCCCTTTTCCACTGGAAATATAGTCATTCAATTTGTGTGGCACAACAGTATTATTTTTAACTCTATGCCGAAAATTGAGATTAAAGTTAAGCATTGATCCAGTATTGGCACAGCTCATTTGTTAACACTGTGGTCTTTGGACCAGGAGGTTGTCGTAACCTAGGATTTGGTCCAGTGCCCGGGGTGGAGATGTAAAAATAAGTTTTCCTGAGATCGGAGATATTCTCTCGTCTGATTATATGGGTCCCCTCACGATAGTGGCTTCATGAAGATTGAAAAACATAAATTGTGGTCTTGGCTAGTCAGTTAGTACACCTAAATATGTCTTCACTATGAATGTGAAGAAAATGTAGGCTTCGGAGCAGTAAGGCATATGTCAGTTGTTTCTCTGAAAATGAACCTTGTAGTCCAGTTGCAGTTTTGAAGTCTGTTGAATATACAAGTCTAAGCTAGTATTTTCAAAACTTCAGTGGAATATTGCCAGCTACAGGAGAAAAATCTAGAGTTTTGACAGAGAGTTTTAAATCAAAATCTGTATTGAATGGGGAGGAGTGCGGTTTTGAGGTGTTCACGCTAAATGGGTATTTTATTTTTGCTAGGAATGGTGAGCAATGCTATTCCTAAATTATAGGAGTAATGTGTGACTCTGAAATTCTAAGTCATGCACTTGTGCTTCCCTGAATTCACATCTATGTCTTGGGCATAATTTTCAGGCTAAGAGCAGGGGGTTTTTTTAACTGTCTTTTTTTTTTTTTTTAATGAAGTGCTGTTAAGGAATTCAGAATGACCTCAAGACTGTAGACTAGGTTAAAGTGGGAATGAATACTTTTATAGAAGTGACAGAGGAGGATTTTGGTACTTTGGCTCTTATTGGTACTGCTTAAGCTGACTTTGAGGGTCTTTTTGATCAGATATTGGCTTCACTGATGCATTGAGAAAATTGGAAGTACTGTATGTTTAACAACTAAATGGCAAATATTTTCCCTTTACTTTTTTGTATTTTTTCCTCTATTAGAGACGTACATACATATTATCTATGTACATGAAACCTATGCTTCTTTATAGCAACTTGATTTTTAGAAACAAATTCACTTTTGTATGTGGGGTATCGTTATCATGCAGTGCTTGGGATGGAAGTTCTTGAAAAAGTGTTGTTTAATTAAAAGATGGCTTTCCACATCTTTAAATATGACTTGTCAGTAAAGGCTATTTTTGCAAAACTTATAGGTTCAGGAGCTGACCCTTGAAACTGTGTTTTTTTTCCTTTTTTCTTGGCCGTATATGACCTAAAGATGCTCTGTGTCTCTTTTTCAAAAGATCATCATGTAACTTATGTTTTGGCCACTAATCTTTGGGTCAGTCAATGCACATTTTTCTTCTCTTACTTATTAAAGTCATGGTCAACTTAACTGGCTAGAAATTTGTGTCTGTATTAGCCGTTCTTCTGTTATCACATCTGTATTTTTGCGTCCAGACCTCTTCTTGTAACGAAGGCTTTTCTTATTATTGGAACTTGAGATGTTCTGGGCACCTGTCCCAGAGTGCCTCAGCAGCGGCTTTTGTGCCAAGGACTTTTTAAAGAATGTGTGGGTTTTTTTGTTGTTGTTTATTTGTTTGGGTTTTTTTAATCCTTTCCCTCCTCTGCTTGGGGTTATGGGTAATAAAACGTAGGCCAGCTTCATTTACGGTATTTTGATGTGGTGACGTTACATTACTGTATGATAACGTTAGCACTGTCCTGAACATGGAAGTGCTTCAAATTTTAAAATCAACGTGTACCTTCTGGATGTTATAGAAAAGAATGGCCTCTGGACTGCATATGCGTGTAGTATGGAACACCAGGAGTTCAGGAATTTAAGAGACAGAGGTGTTTCTGGTGTTCTGTGTTACAGGGTCAGGACAGTATGTTATGTCTAATTTTGACTATTGAAGAAGTGGTTTTAATTATAGTGTGCTGTGGCTGGGGACAAGTGTCTGCTCTGTAGATCCAATTAAGTTTAAGCCAAACTAGACAGCTAGCAACTGGCAGAGAATTGAGGCTTACTGTGAAGTACTTTGGCTACAAAATGATTTTTTAGGTGAATGTAACTCTTTACAGTGCATCAGTTCAAGTTATAAAGTGATTGGTTTCAGGGCTGTAAAGAAAATTCTCGTCAGTTCACTTGGTAAGGTTTGTGGGGAGAGGTAATATCTTTTATTAAACCAATGAATATAGGTGGAAAACAACAAAACAAGCTCTCAGGCACACGAGTCCTTCTTCAGGTCTAAAATTGAATCAGCAACTAAATGCAAGTTGAGAACAGTTGTACTATCAATATTATATTTCTTCCTTTAAGAGAGCTGAAGGTTGAAGGAAGAAGTTTAGAAATTCAGCTTCTGCTTTGCTGCAAAGCTTCTCTACAATATCAAATACATTTTTTTAATGACTGTTGAAATTTTCCAAATCTGAGTGTATCTTATTGCCTTGTCAAACTCCAAATTTGTATATTCTCAGTAAAATACTAGATCTTAGGTAAAATTTTCTTTGTTGGTCACAAGAGACTATTTTGATGTAGTTTATATAAAACTTTGTCAGCCTGATGAGTTAAAATAACAGTAGTGTATTTAATTATCAGATACACTGAAAATAGCCCAATCAGTTTCTCATAGATTGACTTTAAAAGCCTTTGTAGGCAAAGCCAGGACTGCCACTGAAAGAAGCTGTGCTCTCTGCTGCTTGTCCCCTACCTCTATTCCATTCCCTCACTGCAGGTGTTTGTTTTGTCGCATGGTAAAACTGATGGGTGAACAGATATGGGTTAAAATTTAAGGGAAAAAGTACTGTGTTAATTTTAGCCTGGATCATTTTCTTGCCTGGCTTGTTGTGAGAGCTCACAAATGCTTGTGCTGGCATAGGGAGAGAACAGCTTCTTTCCATGGTGGTCCTACCTTAGAGTGTTGAAGAAACTTCAATGTCAGTTTGAACGTATAAGTTTGAAAATGTTATGTTTTGAAATAGTTATGCAGAAACCATATAAAATTCCCTATCTGTATTATCTTTCCTGTTAAATTTTTTCAAAAAAGATATAACGCATGAGCACCAGTTCAGATATAGTTTAATATGGTTAACTGTACAGTTTGGTAAACTGTATGTCAAATCTATAGGAGAAGAAAACAGTTACAGTGCAGTGTTCACTTTTGCACAGATCTTAGTGTAAGCAGTGCTAATTCGTAAAATCTGTCAAAAGCTTGTTTCATCAGACACTGAAGATGCAAAAGTACAAAAAAAGGAACTTTCTGAAATCTTTGAAAAGAGTGATAGATTAGTTTCAGTGTATATATTTTACCAAAAGCCTTAAGGCAGTATAAAAACTAATGTTTATGAAATTAAGAGTTTTATAGATTACAATGTGTTGAAAGCTGTGCAATTTTTTTATCACAGCTGGGATTAGCATTCTGGGTTTTGATTTTTTGCAGGGGAGGAAAAAGGGGTGTTCTCTAGTGTTATGATCAGTTCAGTAGTCTTCCTGCTTTTCCTATGGTGACACTTTGGTGATGTATTTTCTGTGAAAGTTTTTTTTTTTTTTTTTCTTTTTCCTACCTCAACCATTTTCCAAGGCCTAGCTTCTGATCATCTGGATTAATTAGCACTCCTAGTGTGCCTTGAAGTCTTCCTTACCTTGTGCAAAGACATTTTTTTAATTATCTGATATGTATTTGTACCAGTGTGCGATGAGCACTCCCTTTCCTCCTCCCCATTGTCTTTCTGTACGTTACTCTGGTTGTTAGATGTTGACCTCTTTTTAGTTGGACTTACTGTGTTTTTATCTTTGGAAGATTAAGCTCAGATGTCAATAGAAATAGTTACTGCTAATAATTTATCATATTATGTACAGATGTTCTTTTGGGCATCTGTTACATGATCTTAAAATTGAGAAAGGTAGCTTTTTTGCTGGAGTAGGCTGGAGGTGTATGAGAGCAGAAAAGTTGCTCTTTACCCACCCTCATATTTCTCCGTAAGTGGCCACTCTTTGAGATTGTGCACTGAGCTAGACGGACCTTTGATCTGACCTGTTGTGGCTAGCCTTATATAGGTGTCTTGAAAGGAACTAAAGAATAGAAATTAAACTGTTACTTGGGAGAAGAAAATCTGTGTGCCACATGCTTGGGTGATTTTTTTTTTTTTTTGGAGGGGAAAAATGTACACATATAAAGTGTGCTAGATAATTTCAGTTAACAAATACTACTTGCTGGTAAGACCTAGATAACATGGGTATTTTCATGACTTAGACCTCTGACTTGCATATACTTATGTGCT